AACTCTACGAAAGACATCCATGCTATATGTGTAGGAACATAATATGACTGAGAGTGCAACAAAGTATAGTTCAACTCATCAAAGATATCAATTGACTGAAGGTACAACATATTGTGGCCCAGGTTCTGCAAATAATGATGCCCTTTAACTGAGGGTGCTGCCGTCCATATTATACTGAAAGTGTCACAAATTATGTTACAGACCCACCAGAGGGTTAGTACACCGAAGGCACGATACATTTTGGTCTAAACTCACCAAAGACGTTGGTATACTGAAATTATAGTCCAAACTCACCAAAGACCTTGATGTACTGAAATTATAGTCCAAACTCACCAAAGACATTGATATACTGAAATTATGGTCCAAACTCACCAAAGACATTGATATACTGAAATTATAGTCCAAACTCACCAAAGACGTTGATATTGTGAAATTATAGTCCAAACTCACCAAAGACGTTGATATACTAAAGATATACCAGTTTGTGCTCCAAACTCTCCAACGACGTTGACACACTGAAATTATGGTTCAAACTCACCAAAGATGTTGAGATACTGAAGGTATAGCAATTTATGGTCCAAATTCACCAAAGACTTTGATATACTGGAGATATACCAATTCATGCTCTAAACTCCCCAAAGACGCTGATACACTAAAATTAAGGTCAAAATTCACCAAAGACGTCGAAAGACTGAAGATATACCAATGTATAACCCAAAACTCACCAAAGACATGCCCGAGGAAAAAGAAGAGGAATGTGAGGGCCACGATCCATCCGGCAGTCTCGAGTTTCTGGAAGCCGGCTAGATCTAGGTCGGACATCTTGGTCCCATACACGTCTCAGTCTCAGCCGAGGGCCTGAAAATATAAAATATGTCCACACAGATTAATTAAGAGTTTTAGGTAATAGATCATTGTAAAGCAGTTCGTGTTTGTCAATCTGGGTGATATCGCCCTCAAGTAGGAGAATTGATCATTTTGGTGGATGGAGGGGATCACCCGAGTAGTGACAGTTGGTATTGTTTGCCCAGCTTGGAAATATGTACGCCTATATCATCAGCAAGCTGTCAAAATGCCAAGAGCCCAGAAAGCAACATTTTACAAGAGACAACCCCCCCCCACCCAACCTATTATATTCTTGTAGAAATTTTACTACATTGTGTATTTAAGTTATGACGGATGTAAAATTCTCGTATATTTGCTGATCTGATTTTAAGAGTTCATCTAGTTATTGCAGCTGTTTGGGTTTAACATTCCTTTAAACCCTGACAGCAAGGTTTAGTAAGAGGCAGGACTTCAGAATTCAACGTCCATCTCCAATATGCCACAGTCAAATGAGGTGAGGGGAGAACTGTATGTGGAAACTCCTCTAAATAATCCAAAAAACGCCCCATTGGGGATTTAAACCAGATTCATCCGCATCACAGTCTAGCATGATATCACCTGAATAAAGTATAGTGTGCCCAGAGTTCATCTAATCAATTAGGAACGACTTGTTGAATAAATGTGTACGTTATATAAGTATAAGCGCTCCCTCCAGTGTTGAGCAATCAATGGCCACCTATGGAATGGGCAATAGCCAATAGTTATATGTGGCACTGCTAGCTAATTAGTTGTGATTCTTTCCTACCCTGTGGTTAGGCTACCGGACTCGTAATCGTGAGGTTGCGGCGGGTTTGTGGGTTCGAACCGCGGGCCCGACGTTGTGGCCTTGGGAAAGGCACTTTAGGCAAATTTTCCTTACTTCACCCAGATGGGAATGGGTACCCAGCCATAGACAGCGAAATATCTTGTCAGTATTTTAGTGCTTTAGCGCCTATAAATGGCTTCTTGCACTGTACGGTTCCCAG